CTCCTTTTTAATTTTTGCCTGTTTGATAGAGACAATGACTACTAGTAACTGGGGAAAAAAAAAGAATAAAGAAAAAGAAATAAAACGTAAATAAGTTAAGTGACCAAGAAAGATTATGAAAAATTGAGGATCAACATTTTGCTAAGGGGTTTTCTATTTCTTAAATAATATTGGTTGGATAAGCCAATCAGCAGCCATCTATATCTGAGTTCTGAGTGGTCCCATTCAGAAATTAGGACCATTGAAGACCTTTCACCCAGACTTTACCCTCCTGCCCCCCAGATCTAGCCAGGAGCCAGGACAAGCCAATCAGCAGCCATCTATATCTGAATTTTGAGTGGCTCCATTCAGGAATTAGGACCACTGAAGACCTTCTGCCTGGCTTCACCCTTCTGTTCCCCAGATCTAGCTAGGAACCAGGTTAGAGCACCCTATTAATTCTCTCTGTCCCTCTTTCTCTTTTTAATTTCTATTTTTAAACTTCTTAGCTCTCTGCCACTCCTTTGTCTTGCTTATTCTTATCCTTCCCCCTGCCCCCATCAGACAAGTCAATCAACATCCATCTATATCTGAGTTCTGAGTGACTGCATTCAAGGATTAGGACCATTGAAGACCTTCTACCCAGACTAGCACACCACACAGTTTTCATTTTTTTGCTTAAAAATATTTTCTTTTTCTTTCTCTCTCTCTCTTTTATTTATTTTCCTTTTATTTTTACTTTTCTCACTTTTCTGCTCAGCCTCCACACTGATTTTCTGGACAGGACTAGGTGCTTAGTAGCCAAGTATCTGAATACATTTAGGGTCAGATTAAGGCTCAATTTCCATTGAATCTGCTGCACAAAGGGAGAAAAGCAGTTCTGTTTAGAGATTGCAGGTCACCTCCTCCTGTATACCTCTGAATGTTCATATTTAACTCCAAAAACTAGGAAAAAGGGTATAATCCATTAGATGACTAGAAACCACTGCAGAGGCACAATAAATATGAGAAATGAGGAAAATATCTCTCCCCTAATGGAAAAAAAATAACTCCTCTTCCTCCATAGACAATACAAGGGGACTCATGGAAATGTCAGATAAAGAATTTAAAATATTAGTAGTTACAAAGCTAGCAGAAATGCAAGACAACAAACTCCAGAAAATGCAGGAGGAAAGAGACAACACATTCCAGGAAGTGAGGAAGTTCTTGCATGATCTGAAAGAGGAGATAAACATCATAAAAAAAGAATCAAACAGAATTGTTATAAATGAAGGCTATAATACAGGAAATCATAACCTCCCTTGAAAATATTAAAAGCAAATTAGATCATGAAGATCGAATCTCAGATGTAGAAGATAGAAACTCTAACTTAGAAAAATTTACCAAAAAGACAGAAAATAACCCCATAAAAGGAGAATAATATATGAGTAATACTAGATACAATTAGATGCTCAAACATCTGGACAATCAGTATCCCAGAAGGTGAAGAAACAAATCAGGGCATTGATAATCTATTCCATGAAATCCTGGAAGAAAACTTTTCAAACCTGGAGTGTCATTCAAATACCCAGACCCAAGAAATAAAAAGGACCCTACATCAACCCAAGAATCAACCCAAGAAGATCTTCTCCAAAGTACATCATAGCCAGATTGGCCAAACCCACAGAAAAATCCACAAGATACAAAACCGGCAAGAGAGAAATGTCAAGTTACTTTCAAAGGATACACACACACACACACACACATACACACACATATTATAGAATGATCAGATCAGGCTAATCACCTTATCCATCACCTCAAATATTTAGCAGTTCTTTTGGGAGAGAACATTTAAAATCCTTCATTTAATTTATTTTGAAAGAAACATATTATTAAGTATATTCACCATGCCGTGCAATAGAACACTTATTCCTCCATCTAACTTTTTGTAGATTGACCAATGAACATTGACCAATGTTCATTGACCAATGTTTCCCCTTCAAATGCTCACCTCTAACACTGCCTACAACCTCTGGTAACCATCATTTTACTTTATAGTTCTGAGTTAGACTTTTTTATATTCTCTATATTAGTGAGATCATAAAATATCGGTCTCTCCATGCCTTCTTCTTGCACTTAACATGCTTTTTAAAGTTTATCTATGTTTTCAAGTATAACAGAATTTCCATTTTTTAAGGCTGAAAATGAAATTACCATATCATTTAGAAGTCTCTCTGTGGATATCACAAAGGGATTGAAATCAGCATGCAAAAGAGATGTCTGTACTCTCATGCTCATCACAGCATTATTTACAATATGGAAGTAGCCTGTGTCTACCAAGAAATGAACTGATTAAAAAAATGGCATAGGCCTAGCCACAGTGGCAATCCTCAGACAGGGACCTGGATTACCACGGGGAGCTTAGATTTGATTCTCAGTCCGACCTGAAGTCCAGGTGTGGTGATGTGTGGTTATAACTCCTTCAACTCAGGAGACTGAAGCTGGAGGATTTGGCATGGACAGACTCAGTCTGTCCCTTTAATTTTGACTGCTTTTAGAAATACTAATGACATTTTTCACCATGCCAATAAGCAACAATTTGAAGCTATTTGAACATATACATACTTTACTCTGACAGTTAGTCACCCAACTTGCAAAACTGCTGGACAATTTTTGTCTTTGTTTCCAGATGTCTCTGAGTTCTTTCTAACCTATCTAGAGGGATCATGCATCATTCAGGTGCTGTCTCTCACCTCACATCCCGTTAACACCATGACAACCATCCACTGTGGCAATAAATGAGTTTTTCTTCCCAATGACAGTTGCAGCCCCTCTGGAAATTTCTATTGGCTTTTCATCCTCTGGAGACAGTTCCCTTATATTGCAGACCTGTTTGATAGAGCCTTCAAAACACCTAGTCACTTAAAATCAGGAAGATAGTGTGTAGGGAGCAGCTGGATCTGAGCAGTACAATGGTAACCTTTCAAGATGAAGGCACATTTTCACAACGTGTGCTTATACTGCAAGGCCAGCAGAAGTTGAGAAAAACTGTGTATCAGCCAGAGAGGGCCAGGGGAGACAAGAGGAGGCTAGTTCAGAACCATAAGCCACAAGATGTTCCACAGCTTCAATTGATAGCAGAAAGATACCTGGCTTCACATTCTGCTTCTCCCTCCTCTTTCCACGTAAAAGAGTAAACTTGACGACTGCTCAGTGCCATGGCTATTTCCATCAGAAGTGCCCAGACCACTGGGTCCTGACTTTTCTCTACTTGTGCATCTGTGTGTTTCTTTCCAAATGCACTGTTGCTCCCATTCAAGTTCATGTTCACCCATGCAAGTTGTGGAAATGGGGTGGGGAGGGGAATCTGAAGCTGGAGGCTGTGAAGAGCTGGGCTCTGGGTGAAATTCAGAAACATGATTTCTGAGTGACCTTAATGATTTTTCCCTTTTTTGATATTGGTTTGTTTATCTAGGAAATGAATGGGCTGTGCTGAGTGATTTTTTTTTTTTTTGAGAGGTTTTTGCTATAGGGTGCGTGCACTCACCAGAAAGACAGAGAGAGACAGAAAGTAAGAAATCACCCTGCAGGGGGGATGGCCACGCCACAATCCCTTCCCCTCCATTCTTCTCTTGGGATCTTAGGCACGCACACACACACACACACGCACACACACACACACCCGGTGTGAGTTTAAGCCGTCGGGGCTGGGACTCGAACCGCTATCAAGTACATGGGAATTCAGTGACATAGCCATTACACTAATTGCTGGTCCCCCATGGGTGCTCTTTAAGTCTCTTTTTACCCTAACTTTTTTTAATGACCTGTTCTTCAACTTTATGCTGACTTTTATTCTTATCTTAATTAACCTCTCTTCCTTTCCAATACTGCTTGAACTTTGCTTTGCTTTCTTCTAAAGTTTACTTATTTATTTCTTCCTTGAGACACACACACACACACACACAGAGTGAGCGAGCGAGAGAGAAACAGAAAAGTATCACTCCCAAGATCATCTTAACACAGAAATTAAACTCCATTCCCAACCAGCCCTGACCATAGACACAGCATACCCAGGAGATCTCTAAATGTGAACCCAGAACTCTCCCATGTGAGTCAGCCCCTCAGTGCAGAGTGCAGAGCACAGAGCATTGTCTTCTACTGCTGTGTCGCTGTCCAGCCTTTCTTCTTTTTTCTTTTCTTCCCCTCTTTCTTTTCTTTTTCCTTTTTCTTTTCTTTTCTTTTCCTTCCTTCCTTCCTTCCTTCCTTCCTTCCTTCCTTCCTTCCTTCCTTCCTTCCTTCCTTCCTTCCTTCTTTCCTTCCTTCCTTCCTTCCTTCCTCTCTTTCTCCTTCTTTATTTCTTTTTCTCTTTCTCCTTTCTTCAAATTGGATGCATTCTCTTTTATGTTTTAAGTGGTGGTGGTGGTGGTGGTGGTGGTGGTGGTGGTGGTGGTGGTGTGTGTGTGTGTGTGTGTAAGTCTATCCCTGTGTGTGTGAGAGTGTGTATGTAGGTGTGTGTTTGTGGATGTGAATGTGATAGTGCTTAGCTCCATTTCTTGGGGGTATTAGCAAGGGAAGATGAGCAAAGAATAGGCAATCAGGTTACAATGTGTATCAGCACTATTTCTTTGGAACGTTTCACAAAAAAGAATCAGGTGGACAGAATGAAGGCAATTTGTGGGGAAGGACTCAAAATCAGGGATGCCTCGAAGCAGGCCCCATGTACACCGTGTATACTCAGATGTGACTCACTCAGATGAAAGAAGCCAGCTCTGGTCTGGCTGTAGTTTCCCAAAGCAACAGACTTGAGGGCACTTTTGTTAGCCTAGAAGTGCTCTGTGTGTACAACAGTCACACACACACACACACACACACACACACGTATGCATTCTCAATACCAGGTCAAGCGTCAAGCACCTTCTGAATACAGACCTCATGACCAGGCCTCACTGCATTAGTTCCTGCTTCACACTTAGCAAATGCCGCATCAGCCATTGACATCACAGAGTCAGATGTAGAATTAAAAATTATTTAATGGGGCGGGGAGCAGGGAAGATTCACTTGATCCCTCCCCAAATCTCTCTTCAGATGAACACTGAACACTGGGACACTAGCTCACCCAGTGAGACTTTCAGGCATAATCAGAGGCCCAAGAACCTTACAAAGTGAATGGGAAGGGCATCTTTTTAGAAGATACAGAGGGAGAGATTATGGCAGTATGTTAACTGCAAGGTAAACAGACAAATCAGACTTATAACAGAATGGGTTGGGGGCTCAGCATCTGGGTTGTCGGCTCTTCAAGGATGTGGCTGTGGACCCATTACTTCTGCTTGGTCTTCTGCTGAGCAGGTGCTGGGATAACCGTTGAGGGGCAGGGCTCAGGCACCTTGGGGTGGCAGGGCTCAGGCACCTTGGGGTGACAGGGCTCAGGAACCTTAGGATGACATGGCTCAGGCACCTTGGGGTGGCAGGGCTCTGGAACCTTGGGGTGGCAGGGCTCCTTGGTTTTGGGGACACATGGCTCCTGGGGTGGAGGCTGGCAGGGCTGTTTCACCTGCTGATGATGAACCTGAGGTGGTGGAGTGCAGGGCTGCTTCTGCTGCTGGGAACTCATGTTTCAACAGTAGATGGTCCTAGAGACAGAACAGGTGATTTAAACATGGAGTAAAACTAAGGAAGAGCATGCTCAATACCCAATAAACTGCATTTCAGGCCCCTTTGGAAAGTGAGGCTTTCCTCTCCCCTCTCTGTCCCCCTGTTCTTGAAAACAAAATAGGCTTTGTTAATTTCTGGACCGTTCTGAGAGGAACAGCTTAAAGGCGATTCTTTCTGTTCTATTTCAGTGCAGTTTTTTCCTTGGTTTTCTTTCTTTCTCAGACTTATCTCTCACTAAAAATATCCTAGGAAAGCTGGCTTCTGAGAGGGATGTGAGATCCACATATTTGTCTTTTGCAAAGTGGTATCATAGGCATGGCAAAAGTCCATCCACTCTCAGTACCACATGGAATGACTTGTGACTTTAGCATGGCTCTGTATCGATCTACATCCCTAGGTTTCTGCTTGCACTCTCCTTTGAAATGAGTTTCTTCCTATGCACTGCTTGTCCAAATATGTCTCCTTCAGAGCTTGCATCATTAGCAATTGAATGTATACAATAATAATAATAATAATAATAAATTAAGGGGAAAAAAAAGAACTCACTTCAGAAGCTATCACCAGGAGACTCTTCTTGAGTGATGCTCCCCAAACTGAATGGCCCTTCCCTGCCCCACTCTCCTCATACCAATCAGAATATGCTTTACATTTTCTCTATTTATGTACAAGGTCTATCTTCTCTTTAAGGTTATAATTTTGTTGAATAAGTTCCACAGTAGTCTGATTTATCCAAAGTGTCTAGCATACTATCTTAAGTATTATAAATGCTCAGTAGAGATCCATCTAATGAATTAAAATATATATAATATCATATCAGAGAGAATATTGCAGAGTTGCTGAGGGTGCTCTGGAGCTGAGCCTTGGTTCTATCATGATAAGAACTTCCTGTGGGCATTTGAACAGGATCTCCCCCCATCCCCACTTCCCTGATCCTCAGTGCTATGGTTGTGCACTGAGGCTGCAGACTTAACCACATCTTACTGAGGCTCCTATTAACTAAGCTTTGCTTTAATTTAAAATAAAGATACTCCAATATTCTTTAACTCTAGTTAATACATATTTGCCTTTATCCAGTTTCCAAAGAAAAAATGAATAATAATAATTCCAAATTGATTACAATCAGAGACTTACCTGGTACACAGGGAAGTACAGGCTGTCTGGTCGCTTGAGTCTGATGTGAAGGCAATGAACAGCTGGCTTTTATAAGATGAGAGAGACCTGCCTTAAGGAAATAGAATTGCCTTAGGCCACTCTGTTTTCCTTCCTTACCTGTCACACATGACTCATTGGACTCCCCTCAACCACCCGTTGGCTCAGCTTTTGTGATGAAAGCTACCCACCTGATGTTTCTTGGCACTGATGTCTGACAATGATGTCACCCAGGTCTAATTGTCACTGTCATGCTCCCCTCAGACCCAAGTACAGGGCTTGTGTCAAAGGAGGAGGGAGCACAGGCTTCCTGAAGGGAATAATGAGTTCACTCTGCAGGGAGATCTTAGTCCTTTTGTGGCCTCGCCATCTGCTGTTCTTTTCATTGAGAGGATTGTTCTCCATGTTAGTGGGATAGACTACTTTTGGGCACATGAACAGGTGAGAAAGGAAGGGGAGAAGAGGAGTTGAAGTGGGCACTAGTAGTCTGCCTTTGTGAGGGTGGAAATGAGAGGTAATGAAACTGATTACAGACTCGTCATCTGGGTGAATGCAAGACCCTGACATCCTTCCCCCCCCATATCCTTCCAACTCTATTGAACTACACACATTCAGAATGACTTATCATCTTCCCCCAACCGCACCTCTTCCCGACTGGCTGCTAATCCAGGTAAACCTGCTTTGCTTTCACCAACCACACCTTTATCCTTCTCCTATTTCAGAGCTGTTCAAGGGCTAATCCCTCTTTTGGGATAACCCATTCCCTCCCCTCCACCCAGCCATCTAACTATGGTGCTTTTCTTCTTCCTAACTCAGCTATATAGTGCTCTTCTCCTGGAAAGTTTTTCTAACTTCTTTTGCTCTGAGCCCATCCATGAAGCTTTCATTTCCTCCACTTCTTTCCCACTTCCATCTGTGGCCCAATTCTGCAACTCCTGGGGGCTTTCTAAACATCTGCCTAAGCCAATGATACTCCTATGGCAATATTTGCTTCCTTTTCATTCAACAAAGATTACACCCAATGTATGACAGTTACATCTCATTCAAAGAGCTATTTGAGGATGAAGTTTTTCTTTCCCTGACAGACTGGAAACTCATCAGAGTGAGAGATATGGCATATTTCAGTTCCTTTTGGACAGAAGTTGAAGAAAAAAAATTTCAGAGAGTCTTTAGTTCATACTCCTCAAAGGAGGTTTGGGGAATTCAAAGCCATGAGAGGTGAAATAGCTCACTTAAGGCCAAATGACAAATTTCATGAAAAAAGGAATTATTTGCAGAAATCTAATGTTCTTTTTTTTTCATCCCTCCCTTCTCTATAATGTCTATGGACAACTTAAACCTGGGTTAAGAAATGATTAAAGGTGAAGAAACAACTTAGACTTGTGGCTTGGAGCTGAGTCCACTCATAGTTCTGGGAAAGCTTGACATGAATGGCAATGCGAGAAGGTAGAAAGAGCCTTAACTTGTGGGTGAGCCCTTAATTGCTGCTAAGATGAATCCTCTTAAGTAGGAATAAAGCTACTTAATGTTTAAAGTGACTCTGGAGATAAATAATAGATAGTTCTAGCTTTGCCAAACATAGGAGGTGGTATAAATTAACACAGGTGGAAATAAAGAGACTCACTCAGTTTTGCAACACTCAGTGGACCAGGGTTAAGAGAGTAAGAGAAAAACCAAGATGCTAAGATGCCTGCTTTTATTTTAAGTTTATTATTTTTCTTTCATGAGAGAAAGAAAGAGAGAGAGAGAGAGAGAGAAGAGACAGATAGACAGGCACCCCCAATAGAGTCTTCCACATGTGATCCATGCCCAGTGTGAGCCAGCCTGGATTGACCACACATATATGTCTCTGACATGTTCAGGGAGGTCCTGGGACCCCTCCGATGTGGGTCCAGTTGCATTATCACTGTGCTACCTTATGGCCTCTAAAGTGTTTGTTTTGGATCTGTGTTGCTTTTACTCTGGAGGTCTTACAGTGGCATAGTAACAGGGCCTGGGTTCGCTGACCAGTGAATACACTGGGGCTGGCATCAGATGATCAGCCTCGGAGCATCTGCCTAGGTATACCCATCCTCCGCAATGGTCAGCGGAAGATTCTTCCTGCCATGGGGCTTTTCTTTCTTGGGGATATCAGAAGAAGGGTTCTTCGAGTCCTTACACCAGAAATTTCCTTCAATCAACATAGCATGAAATTGAGGTTACTGATTCAGACCTACACTCAAAACACAACTTGTTACTAGGTGTGGCCTTTGGAAAGTCCAAGTCACTCTTAAAACTCAGATGTGTAGATAGTTCTTACTCTTCGTCTCACCCCGTTCCTCCACAAACACACACCAAAATGTTTGTGGAGCATCTGCTGACTCTGTGGCTGGGTCACCTCTAGGGAAATTAGGTCTAGGATCAGCTTCTCACTGAGTCCCAAAGGCCATTAGTCTATATCCATCCTCACATGGTACCTGGTGTGTAATAGTTTCTCAGTAATTGGTGACTGTACACTGACTGACTGAATGAATGAGTGAGTGAATGGTATTACTTATAAAGAGTTTGAACACTGCTTTGAGATGTGCTGAGAAGTTTTTGTAAGAGAAACACTCCCTTGTGGTTGGTCTCTTGGGATGAGCCAAAAAGAGTCATGGCAGCTCAGTAAAGTACAAACAATTCTTCTAGAACATTCTGGCAGAATGTGCCATCTGTTTTCTTGTCAGCCAGTTCAATTAACCACTTCTTCTGGGCTGGTTATGGGCTGATAGTTGCCTCTTTTCACCAAAATCACCCTCTCAGGAGCCCCTGACAGAGGGAGCTCCAGGCAGAACCTGCCGCTGTATCTGACAGAATTCTGTCTTGAGGTATCTGCTTCCTGCTTCTCTGTCCTCTGGTGTTACCTGGCTTGTCTTGGGCCCTAAATGATTAGAATCTAGTTCTGAAGCTGGAATGCTCTTATGTCTTCCCTGGGCTTGCAAGGGGTCTTCCCTTCACTAGATATCTCCTCTTAGCTAGCCCCTCCTGCCTGCCTCACTCTACCCACCCAAGACTGCTCTGGCTCCAGACTCTGGAATTTTCCTTTGGTCCTGATGTTGTTCACCTAGTTTGTTTGTCTGAAGTTCACAAAGTGGCTTGTGTTAGGATTCTTTCTTTCCTTAGAAGAAACATAGTTTATTCATCACCAGGGCTGAGTTAGCTGGTGAGTCAGGTCCCACAATCTCCCTATATAAAGAAAGGAAGCAACCGGAGGGTTTCTGATGATAAGTGTATCCCCCAGGACTTTTCAGGCTTCCACAGGAGCCCCCTACTTAGGACACAGGAAGTTGTTGTTCTTCCCATGTGGAAAACTGGCTTCCCTTGGTCTCAGCTGTTGGATCCTCTATTGACTCAGTCATGCTTACCACTCATCACTCATCTGCAAAGCAAGGAACCCTGATGGCCCCAGTCTAGTTGTGACCAGGATTTTCCCAGCTTAGGTCACGCTTTCCTCCCAAGGCTCAGACTCTGCAAAGAAGGTCATGAGAATTTGAACTCCAATCCTTTCCTCATGGGGGTGCATATTTAATGCACAGTAACACTTAGAAACATGTAGTATTAAGAGCATTTTATTTCTACCTCCCCTGGTTACCTTGAGGAGCTAGGAGGACGAGAGTGTCAGCAGCTCATTTCAGGCCATGATAATTGAAAAAAGAGAAAAAAAATAGTCCCCATAACACAGAGCGTCCCCTATCTGAGAAAAAGCAGGAAGAAACACCAGGCCCCAGGTGCTGGGAGACCCCAGAACACTTCCGTTCAGCTGTCAGCAGAAGGTAGGTTTGCAAGCCTGGGAATAGGCATGACTTAGATAAGGAATCTGAGGAAGGAAATGGCAACTCTTCTAAGAGGTCATAAAAGTATGATGTTCCAGGACACAATCTCTTACCAACCATGATGTATTGCTTCTCGATACTAGTGAGGAATTCTATAAGCTAGAGGGCTGTTCTTAGGAGAGACGCTAACAGGATCCTGCCATTCCCACACTTCTGTACTGACCAATTATCTATTATCTATTCAAAATAGAGTTTCTCTGTGTGCAGATGATCAAAAGACACAGATATATAGATTTTTAAATTGAGGGTATTGGAATATGGGATGGTTCAGACTGATGTGCTCTTCCTACGATCCCTCATTTCTCCTGACAAGCACATGTCTGAGAACTTTCTGCAGAGGATCCAAAACTCCATTGGAGATGACTGTGTGGCTGGTCCTCTTTTCTTGTTTGTTCAGCTGCGCCTTTTTTGTCCCTAGTGCGCTTCTGAAAGTAAGCTCCTCCAGAGTGCGCAGCAGCCTCTACAGGTTTGGAAACATAAAGTTCTAGATTCAAATCCTAATTCTTCTTTTTACTAGCTATGACTATGCTGTTCAAAACTTTTTTTTTTTTTTTTTTTTTAGAAGGAAGTTTTGCTATAGGGCATGTGCACTCACCAGAGAGACAGAGAGAGTCAGAGAGAGACAGAGAGACAGAAAACAAAAAATCACCCTCCGGGGGGATGGCCACTCTGCAATTCCTTCTCCTCCATTTTCCTCCCGTGATCTTGGGCATGTACATACATGCGCCTAGTGTTTTAAGCTGCCAGGTCCAGGATTCGAATCACAGTTGACTACATGGAAGCCCAGCAATGTAGCCACTATGCTATCTGCTGGTTTCTCAAAACGTTTCTTAATAATAATAACTACCTACAAAGTGCCAGACTTTGTTCTAGACAGTTAACACTAAACCTTACAATAGCAATGCCAGGAACAGATTGTTAAATTCATTCTATGTTAAATTAAACCCATTCATCAGGAACAGATTGTTAAATTCATTCTATGTGAGTTAAATTAAACCCATTCAGATGTAGAAGCTGAAGCATAAAGAATAAGTCACTTGCTTGAGTTTATGTGGCAGATGGGTGGCAAAGCTAAGATGCAAATTCAGCACTGTGACTCTGAAGCCTGTAAGAATCTCAGTTTATCTTACCTGTAAGTTAAGAATGATAATATTTGCTTTTAGAAGTGAGAGATTAGATATGCAAACCAATTACTACAGTGACTAGAACATAGTGGATGGATAATTGTTATCAAGAGCATTTCTTCCCTTTAGGGTCTGAACTACAGCTATTATTAGAAACTAGTTTCCAGTGACTCAGAAAATTCCATCATTCTCTTCATTTCTGAAGTAGTCAATTAGTCATTTATTTAACACATGTGTGCTAAATGACAGTCAATATCAAGCATGTTGTCCCAGTT